CTAAGGTGAGCCTGACCCAAGCCATGGTATTTTCAATAACCTCATATACATGCGAAAGTTGGACAGTGAATAAGGAAAATTGTAGAAGGATTAATGCATTTGAATTATGGTGTTAGAGTAGAATACTGAAAATACCATGGGCTCCCAAAGTAACAAACAGATCTCTGTTGGAAGAAATACAGCCAGAATGGCCACACTTCGTCTCTCATACTTCAGACACATTGTCAGGAGTGACTGTCACTGGAGAAGAATATCATATTTGGGAAGGTGGAGGGTCAGAGAAAAACAGTAAGACCCCCAGCGAGATGGATTGGCAAAGTGGCAGCATCAGGGGGCTCAAGCGTGGCAACAACTGTGAGTTGGCCCAGGATCGGGCAGTGGCTCGTTCTTTTGTGCATAGGGTTGCTAGTAGTCGTTACTGACTTAATGGCACCTAACAACAACAACATTACAATGTTATTTCTACGAGAGTCCTGAGGACAAATCCCGAAGGTTCTGATCAAAATATATTTCTCCTTAGAAAATAGGCTGGTTTTATTTTTCTGAAGTCACCCATAGAAACTATAGTACAAGTTAAAGCATGAGTTTTTTTTGTGTTAACATTACTCTATCTTCATCATAAGTTAACAATACTAATAACACATACCTGTACAGTCTTTTTTATCCTATGGGATGGACCTGGATACTCTGGAGAATATAAATCAGTGAGGAATAATGAGTTGATTAACGTTGACTTTCCCAATCCAGATTCACCTACAAGAAACAGAGTAAAATATCTGTTAAACCTAGCTTCTTTGCCCATTTAAAACATTTTAGCCAATGCTATATTCAAACTTGTTTTTTGGTTTTTTTTAAGTACTTCTTGGTGAGATAAGTAAATAGCATAAAAATATAAAGTATTTCTACTAGAATAAATTCTCTGCCCTATTTAAACTATCAAATAAGAGGGGTAGACCTTTAAGTTTTATAATTCTACAATTTTAAAGTAAGTTTATCTAATATAATCTGATAATGCCCATTTTAACTGCAACTTATTCTCAGAGTTCAAAGTCAGTTATTAAGAAAAATTCAAAAGTAAAAGTATATAAAGATAGATGGATATTTTAGACCATAATGACTAACGAAAGCAAAAATATCACACAACTATGAAAAGCAGAAACGTGCTGGTAGAAAGAAGAAAAACACATCACAATGCACCTAGCATAAATACTTGTCAATGGGCTGGCCCATATGCTAATCATTATAATCATCCTATAGACATATTGGAGTCCCAGAGAGTTAGCACTGAACTGCTAACCACCAGGCCAGTAGTTCAAAACCACCAGCTGCTTCTTGGAAATCCTATAAAGGTTTGTTAAGAGTTGGAAATGATTTGCTGACATACTACAAGAACAAAGACATACTAAAATTTAGTCAACCCTTCCCTAGTAATGATAATGTATACGAAGGTTGTTTTGAATTTTTTTCTCCTATACAAAATATGGAGTCCTGTTGTGGTGCTGTGAGTTGATGAACTGGACTGCTAAGTTGGTTTGATTCACAAAGTCGGTTCAAGTTCACCAGCCAATCCTTAGAAATGCTATACAGGGTTGCTAAGGGTCAGAACTGACTCAACAGCACTTAACAACAACAAAATACAAAACGTAGGAGTCCTATATAGTGCTGTAGGTTAAGCACTGGAATGCTAGTCACAAAGTCAGTGGTGCAAACCTACCAGCGCTCCTTGGAAACGCTATATAATGTGGCTTTGAGTCATAAACGACTAGACGGCACTTAACTATAGCAAAAACATACACAATTTTACAGTAAACACTATATAAATATACTGTTACCTGTATTTACTCATATCTTTGTATACAGCTTTAGTTACGTGTCAGATAAATTCCCAGGAATAGAATTCTGGATTCAAAGAATATACAATTTTGATAACCACTCTCAGATTGATCTCCCCAAAGCTTATCAACTTATTTTTTAAAAAAGTATTAAGATGCATGTATGAAAATCTCATGTGAGATTTATGTAGAATTAACTTTCCATTATGAACGGAATACAAATTATAGAGGACTAAAATGAAAAGAAAAAAAAAATGTTTTAAAGTAATGTGTGAGATATGGAATCTGTTTCAGAAAGAAAAGATGGAAAAACTCAGGAAAAGAATGTAGGCCACATTCAATACATCATTTGATTACTTGACTGCTGCTTCCATGAGTGGATAGGGTACATTCAAACAAAAAGAAGGCCTTGACAACTTCTACCTTTTCTCCATTTACTATGCTATTTATTGTTCCAATTGTGAGAACTTTTGTTTTCTTTACACTGAAGTGCAAGCCATACTGAAAGTTGTAGTCTTTAATCTTCATCAGTAAGTATTGCAAGCACCCTCTGTTCCAATCAAGCAAGGTTGTGTCACCTGCATATCACAGGTTATTAATAAGTCCTCCTCCAATCCTGATGCCATGTTTTTCTTCATATAATCTAGCTTCTCAGATTATTTGCTGAGAATGCAGACTGAATTAAGTACAGTGAAAGGATACAACCATTCGATGATTTTAAACCATTTAGTATTGCTGCCTTATGTTATGCATGATGTCCTTCTCAAGAGACTGGTCCCTCCTGATAACATGTCCAAAGTTAGAGAAAGAAAGTCTCAGAATCCTGTCTTCTAAAAAGAACTTTGTACTTCTCCCAACACAGATTTGTTTTATTTTTTCTGGCAGTTCATGCTACCTTTAATATTCTTACCCAACATCATAACTCAGATCCATCAGTTCTTCTTTGGTCTTCCTCATTCATTGTCCAACTTTCACATGCATATGTTGTTGTTGCTGTTAAGTGCAGTCAAGTCGGTTCCAACTCATAGCAATCCTGTATTAGGGTTTCAAGGAGCAGCTTTTGAGTTTGAAATGCTGGCTTTGTGGTTCAAATCAACCCTGTGGTCCAGTGCATTATTCCACAGCACCTTGAAAATACCGTGGTAAGAGGCACCTTAGTCCTCAAAATGAGGACTTTGCTTTTGAACATTTTAAAGAGGTCTTGTGCAACAAATTTGCTGAACACAATGCACTGCTGGATTTGTTGACTGATGCTTCCATGAGTACTGATAAAGGACACAAGCAAAATTAAGTATTTGATGATTTCAAAATCCCCCTCCTTTTATCAAGATGTTACTAATTTGTCCAGTTGTAAGGATTTTTGTTTTCTTTACGTTGAGGTACAACCTATACTGAATGCTGTAGTTTTTGATGCTCATCAGTCAGTATTTTGAGCTCTCTTTGCTTTTGGCAAACAAGACTGTATCATCTACATATCTCAGGTCATTAATGAGTCTTCCTTCAATCCTGATGCCATGTTCTTCTTTTATAAACCAGCTTCTCAGATTATTTGCTCAGCATATAGACTGAATAAGTATAGTGAAAGAACACAAGCCTGGCAAACACTTTTCCTGATTCCAATCCATTCAGTGTCTATTTGTTCTGTACTATAAAGCTGCCTCTTGGTCAATAAATATACAGGTTCCTCAAGAGCACAATGAAGTGTTCTTTAATACCCGTTCTTCACAACGTTATCCATAGCTTGTAATGATCCACACAGTTGAAAGTCTTTGCATAGTCAATAAAGCACAGCTAAACATCTTTCTGGTATTCTCTGTTTTCAGCCAAGATCTAGTTGACATAAGCAATGGATCCTCCTCATTCCACATCCTTGTCTAATTCTGGCTTGAACTTTTGGCAGTTCGCTGCCAACAGACTGTTCCAGCCATTTTAAAACTATCTTTAGCAAAATTTTACCTGTATGTGATATTAACTATATTGTCCAATGATTTCTGTAAAATCCATTGGGTCATCTCTCTTTGGAAAAAGCACTAATATGGATGTTTTCCAATCAGGTGCCTACGTAGCTGTCTTCCAAATTTCTTGACATAGATGGGGCAGTGTCTTAAGTGCTGTCTCTAGTTGTTGAAATATTTCAATTTGTGTTCTATCCATTTCCAGAGTCTGATTCTTTGTTGATGCCTTCAGTGCACCTTATACTTTTTCCTTCAGTACAATTGGCTCTTGATCACTTGCTACCTCTTGAAATGGTTTAACATCAACCATTTATTTTTAGTACAGTGACTCTGTGTATACTTTCCACCTTCTTTTGATACTCTCTCTTATCATTCAATGTTTTGCCCATGGAACTCTTCAATATTGCAACCTGAGGCTTGAATTTCTTCTTCAGTTCTTTCAGCTTCAGAAATGTTGAATGGGTTCTTCACCTTTTGTTTTTCTAACTCTAGATCTTTGCACAGTTCACTATAATACTTTATTTTGTCTTCTTGAGCTGCTCTTGGAATTTTTCTCTTTATCTTTTTCTTCCTCCTTTCTTCCAATTTCTTTAAGTTTCTCTACCCAAAGAGCCTATTGTGGAGATGTAGGATAACCACTGGACTGCTAACCCCAAGATCGGCAGTTCAAATTCATCAGTCACTCCTCAGAAACCCCATACTGGGTCTCTGAGTTGATACCAACTGGATGGCACTTAAGAATGACAACAACAACCCTCAAGAACAAGTTTCAGAGTCTCTTCTAGCATGCATTTTGATGTTTTCTCTCTTTCTCTCGTTTCTTTCTTCATGGATGATGTTCTTGACGTCATTCCACAACTCTTCTGGTATTTATTGTCTAATATGCATCTGAAGTCAGGTAGTATATATTCAAGGTCTTACTTTGGCTCTCGTGGAGTTTATTTTAATTTTCTTCAGCTTCAGCGTGAATTTGCATCTGAGCAGTCGGTGGTCTGTTCCACAGTCTGCCCCTAGCCTTTTTTTGGCTGCTGATACTGACTTTTTCCACTGTCTCTTCCCACAGATGTAGTCAATTTGATTCCTGTATATTCCATCTGGTGAGGTTTTGTTGTCTTTTATGTTGTTGTAAAAGGTATTTGCAATTAACAAGCCATTGTTACAAAATTCTTTCATGCAGTCTCCAGTATCATTTCTATCATCAAGACCCTATTTTCCAACTACTGGTCCTTCCACTGTCTCCAATTTTCACATTCTAATCACCAGTAATTATCCATGCATTTTGATTGCATTTTTTATCAATTTCAGACTGAAGAAGTTTGTAAATTCTTCAATAACATCATAATTGGTTGTAGTGATTAGTGCATAAATGTGAATAATAGTGGTGTCAACTGGTCTCACTTGTAGGTATATGGATATTATCCTATCAGATGACTTCATTAATCTCATTCCAAGTAAATACTACATATAACATAGGGTGTCATCTGAATAATGGAAAGGTAACTTCAGAGTTATGATTTCAGAGTTCATTTCAACATTGCTCAAGTTTAATAACTGTTCTCATCTCCACATTTATGTCTGGACCCATTTCTAGATTATTTATAGCTATTTCCAAGCTAACGCTAAGCAAGTCAAACTTCTTACTAGAATTTTAGAACAACTGCTTAATTTTCTCTTTTGAGATGTTCATTTCACCATCAACATTTCTGAAAAACAATTTGTTATAATCTAACTGATTTGTTCATTTACTATCTCTTAACTCTCCTAAATCAAATGGATTATACGTTTCAAAGTAGATCACTATCTTAGAATCAAAGAAACATGAAGATCAAAACATTTCTTTCTTTAGGCTCAAAAACAATGAGTTACAAGCCCAAATTAAGAGACATTACTTATTCCTTCCTATTGATTAGAACTTGCCATTTTATTTTTATAACAAATTATTGGGAACCAAAGTGACTTCTATTCC